AAAATGATAAATATATTCGTCCCCATCTTGCTCGCAAAACTTCTCCAGAGGCCAATTTGTCAGATTTGATGAAGTCTGCATTGGCTCGTTCAGACTCCAAGATCGGAACATTGGTTATGGCACACAGTTCTAAACAAAGAAGATCTTCTGACGATACATTCAGTAAAAAAATGAGAGAATATTTTTTGAATCCTCAATGCGAACCTTGTAACAATGATGACGATTCTGATGGATTTGATAACTATAGTGACATCCACGATGAAGAATAAGTATTTAATATGTTACTAATCAGTCCGCATCGTGCTCTCTTATCGTGCGGATCTATTTGCTTTTTGCTGAAGAAAGTGTTACTACTACCTAAAGCTACAACAAATTTAAACAGCACTTTTCAGTGCCCAACCTGTAAAAAATTTCTACCTTGTTCAACTCTTATTCCTCTTCGATCCTTGTTTGGACCCTACCCGAGGTAATCCTTCTTGGATATCGATTTGAAAAATTTCTCTTCGATCCTTCAGATTCTTTTAGCAATCTGCTTGGAAGTCGATTTGGATAAAAATTTACTGCCGCCATGGCGCCTAAACGCAAAAGAAAGGGACAAACTCTTGATCCCCCTTCTGATGAAAATAATTTGAGCAATCAATTTGATTTGCTCATGGATGATGAGAATGATCCATCATCCAGGAAAAATTCTATTAAACTTTCTCGGATTAATGCCAAGAATGAAAAGATTCCCTCTATTGTGATAACCACTTCCGATTTCCATGCTCTTCGCATGGAACTTTTGAACTTCGTGAAAGTTAAGTTTTCACTACAAATTGGACGTCGGAGTGAATGTCGGGCCTCCCTTAGCTCAGTCGGTAAAGGCGCAGCTACAATGCAAGACCATGCTGGAGGTGGCTGGGTTCGATTCCCGGTCCGGTCTAGGAATTTTTCGGGTAGGAAAATTTCTCGACTTCCCTGGGCATAGAAGTATGATTGGACTTGCCACACAATTATACCAATGCAAAAATGGTACAGGCATCGAAAGCTCTCAATTAATAACTGTGGAAGTGCATCTAGAAAAAAACTAAAACCTTGGACGGATTTAAATGTCTTCTCAAGTATCTTACTGAGAAGAAGCACAATTTTTTTTACTTACGACACCAAAACTGAACGTGTGTTCAAGGTTGTCATGAAAGGACTGCCCAGTGGTGAATCCCTGGATCAGATCAAAGATGAACTGGCAAAATTGCTTGGAGTTGTGCCACTTCAAGTAATCAAAATGAAAATGAAATCCCGTCCTGGCGATTCATGCAACGGGATTTTCAATTATTTAAATATATATATTCACTTCAAGTCTAGTAAACTAAACAACCTTAAGGCCTTGGAAAAAGCTAGCCTTATGCTCCATGTCCGAACACTTCAGGAAGACTGGAGGAAATTTCCAAAACCTCACCCAGTGCCGTAAGTGCCAGGGATGGGGTCACGGAACTAAACATTGCTACATGCCAGCTAAATGTATGAATTGTGGCGATTCCTCTCACGCAAAGGACGACTGTCCTGTGAAGGAAGATCCTAAGAAATTTAAATGTTCAAATTGTGGTGAAAACCACAAATCCAATTTTTGGGAATGTAAGACTCGCAAAGCGATCCTACAATCTCGTTCTAAGCACCAGGTAGGAAACGCTCCACGTTTCTGAACAGGTACAAATTTCTCTGCTGTTAGCAACGGTCAGCGAGGAACAAATTCTACATTCGTACCCGTAGGTATAAATATCACCTCTGCTTCAGATTTTTCATCTGTACCTACTCCCCTCACTGCTAACAATCTTCAGCGAGTTAATGGAGCTATTTACCTATGCTGCTATTGCAGCGGGTATAAATCAAAATCCATTACTGCCCCTAAAATGGAATTTTTACAGAAATCATTAATTGACATGATTTCTGATATGCTTAAATCTAACTCCATGTTTGATGCTATTCAAACTGGAGTAAAGTTTGCAAACAATATTGTCATGACTTTAAAATTCAGTAATGGAATTTAAAGCATTAAATATTTTAAATTGGAATGCTCGATCTCTCAAATATAATGAAGACGAGCTATTTAACTTTTTGAGAGTTCGTAACGTGCATTTTGCCGTTATAACTGAAACGTTCCTTAAACCTGACCATAAGGTTAGGAAGGACGCAAATTATTTCATTTATAGAAATGATCGCCTTGATGGACCTGGCGTTGCCATCATTGTTCATAGACGAATCAAACATAAAATTATTTCTTCATTTGAAACCAAAGTTTTTGAAACTTTGGGAGTTTCTGTTGAAACAAAATTTGGACAACAACTTACGCCTATTTGCCATTCCAATGCGTAGGCCAGCAAAAGAATTTTCTCAAGGGTGACCTTCAGAAACTTACCCGTCATAGGTCTAAATTCTTCATTATTGGTGATTTTAATGCAAAACACCGCTCATGGAATAATGCTCAAAGCAATTCCAATGGTAATATTCTGTTTGATGATTGTTCTGCAGGTTATTGAACTTTTCAATATCCAAACAGCCCAACATGCTTTTCTTCAGCAAGAAATCCCTCAACTATTGATTTGGTCTTAACTGATTCATGTCAATTTTGTAGCCCATTGGTTACCCATGCTGACTTCGGTTCTGATCACCTTCCAGTAACTTTTGAAATATCCCAAGAAATCATTTATAATCCCAACAGCTCTACTTTCAATAACCATAGAGCTGATTGGTAGCAGTATCGAACATTTATGGAATATAACTTCGATCCAAACATTCCTTTGCATACCAAAAATGATGTTAATTATGCTTTTGATTCTTTGGCTACTTCTATAGTTGAAGCAAGAGCTGCCTCAGTACCGAAATGCGAGGTTAAATTCGATTCAATTATAATAGACGAAGATCTTCAGCTCTTGATCCGTCTTAAAAATGTCCGTAGGAGACAATATCAAAGAACACGCAATCCTGCCATGAAAGTTATCTGGCGGGATTTGCAAAAACAAATTAAAAAGCGATTCTCTGCCCTGAGGAACAAAACTTTTGAAAATAAGTTTCTAAATTAGACCCAAGTTCCAAACCCTTTTGAAAACTCACAAAAATTTTGAAAAAAAACCTCGAAAGCCTATTTCAGTGCTTAAAGAAGGTGGTAAAATTTTGATCACAAATTTGAAAAAAGCTCAGAAACTTGCTAAGCAATTCGAGAGCTCCCATAATTTCAGTTGGGGTCTTACTAGTCCTATTGAGAATCAGGTTGCTCGGGATTATCTGAATATTTTCTCTCGGGAAAATATTTTTGATGACTCCTGGGGGACTGATTTGGACGAAGTAAGGTCTATAACTAAAAAGTTTCAAAATATGAAAGCTCCAGGTGATGATGGAATTTTCTATATCCTCATCAAAAAACTCCCAGAGAGTACCTTGTCTTTCTTGGTAAAATTATTTAACAGATGTTTACATTTGGCATACTTTCCTGATAAATGGAAAAATGCAAACGTTGTTCCAATTTTGAAGCCGAATAAAAATCCAGCTGAAGCTTCTTGCTACCGTCTAATAAGTTTGCTTTCTTCAATAAGTAAACTTTTTGAAAAGATAATTTTAAATAGAATGATGCTTCACATCAATACGAACTCTATTTTTGCAGATGAGCAGTTTGGATTTCGCCATGGGCATTCAACTACTCATCAACTCTTAAGAGTTACAAATTTAATTCGTTCAAATAAATCTGAAGGCTGCTCAACTGGACTTGCTCTTCTAGACATGAAAAAAGCATTCGACAGTGTTTGGCATGAAGGTTTGATTGCTAAATTGAAAAAGTTTAATTTTCCACTTTATATTATGAAATTAGTTCAAAATTATTTAACTGACAGAACTCTGCGGTAAATAATAAAAATTCCAAATCTGAACGACTACCTGTTAGAGCAGGAGTTCCTCAGGGTATAACATTTTCACTTCGACCTCCCTGTTTTGCCTCAGGCTTGCCACAAATCTTTATTCGCTGATGACACAGGCATTTCCGCTAAAGGAAGAAGTCTTCGTGTTATTTGCAGTAGACTGCAGAAAAGTTTAGATATTTTCTCTTCTTATTTACAGAAATGGAAGATTTCTCCCAACGCTTCCAAAACTCGACTTATAATATTTCCACCTAGTAGTAGTCACATAGTCACTATGAACGGATTTCCAATTTCCTGGTCAAACCAAGTGAAATATCTTGGATAGTCTTGGATTAATACTAGACCAAAAATTTACTTTTACAGATCACATTGAGGGCATTCAAGCCAAATGTAACAAATATATAAAATGTTTGTATCCTCTTATAAACAGGAAATCCAAACTTTGCCTGACGAATAAACTTCTAATATTTAAACAAGTTTTTAGACCGGCCATGCTTTACGCTGTGCCAATATGGTCTTGTTGTTGCACTACCAGGAAAAAAGCACTTCAAAGGATTCAGAACAAAGTTCTGAAAATGATTTTGAAGTTGCCTCCCTGGTACAGTACTACCGAAGTACATAGAATTTCGAATGTTGAGACTTTAGAACAACTCTCCAACAAAATAATTAATAATTTCAGGCAAAAATCGTTGCAATCCTCAATTGCAACGATTAATTCTCTTTATACATAGATAAGATTTAGTTTTAGTTTTTAGTTTTAAGATATCAATTGTTATACTGACATGCAGGATTAAAAAACCTGTTTAAAATACTGAATTACCAAGGCAGGAACAATGTAAAAACACTTATATATATATCATAACAATTAAGGCTGGTAAGTTACTGTAGTAACTGGAGCACCTAGGTTAAAAATGAAATATAATTTATTTTGAATTTGGAACAATGGATAATGGATTTCTCAATCAAACATTTAATCTAATCATCTGTCGGAGTACTATTTACACTTATCACCATTTACCGAAGATGTAATCAAAACCATGTTCACAAAATTTTACAGTTACCATATTTTCACAAATCATCGCCGCCAAATTTTCGCCCAATCCAACATTCACTTACACATCAGTATGATGGAGACACACGCAGCCGATCGGTTAACCATTTTCACTTTAATCTTCATTCAAACGGTATTTAGTGGAGGAACTGGTACACAATTTTTCGATAACAGAAAAGCAACAACATTGGCTCAGTCAGGAAATGGGTTTATTCGCAACACCTTTAAGTCTTTTCACTCATTGCGGTTATCCAGTTAAAATGTCCAGGTTTTCCCGTGGTAAATTTTCCGTTCGCAACGTCAACCTGTTGCTTGTGATGGTGGTTAGCGGACGACTACAACCGCTCCTGGCGGAAGCCACTCCATTTATATGTAAAATTTCGAATCTCTTCCAAAGCATACCGGAAAAGCGCCGCTGCAATGTTGGCTTGTTCCCGACGAGAAGCGTCGCGTTTTTCCTCAACTTGCAGATCGATGTCGTCACACTGTCGAGAGCGGTTGTTACGCTAGGGCAAGAAGCACATTGCATAGGATTCTCTGCACGCTGCTCGATTATTATCACCCCACTCGCGGCCAGCCACATGAGCGAGCACAGATCCGATTGAGATCGGCGAGGAGGTGGGTTTTATGATTTTCCACATGCATTCATACGATATCATCGTGCGATAATAGATGGATAACGATTTCGGTAGGTGTTCCGTACACAATCCAATTATTCCGATACAAACAAAACTCCCAATTTAATTATCAACTTTGATGGGAGCTGCCATGGGCGACCTGGTGTCTCCACCGAAGCCACAAATAGTGTCGCTTGTTCTTCAAATGTATTGCACCCATGCTCGATGCAGAGATGATGAGAGTGGGAATGGGAATGGGAATTATTGTCTCAAGACTGCTTTGATCTCATAAACTTGTACCAAACTTATTGGTGTATTCGATTAGATTAAAAATGTGCACATTGGTTTCCGATAATAGCACTGTTATGGTGAATTTCTGGGAATGCTCGCAATCATCGGAATTTTCCAATTTTCCATCGATATGATGTGACATCGATGGGATTTGGTTGTGGTGTTTCGCATGCTTATCCTGATCGGTGATGGATCAGACAAAAAAAATAAATAATCGAAACCTTTGATCTTTATTTGCATCTGCCAACAACTCACCGGTGGCGGCTAATGGTAAGCGGTGATTTTCAAGGACAACGTGAGAAAGAACGCGAGCTAAAATAAAATTGCTTAAACTTTTACTTGCTTTCAGTCTGAGATGGAGGGGGGCATGGTTGTCATGAGGGCACTCAATAAAAATGCTAATTTGTTCCAGTACAGGGAAGTTTTTTTTCATTACACACCTTGGTTGACAGCCGGATCAAGTTTTGTCGCGGCGGAGATTTCGTGGCCGGAATGGAAAACGATGAGCTGATCGATTGGTGGTTGATGTTATGAGAGTGACTTTATTACCATCTTCTTAGGCATATCAACTGCTACCGGTACTAACTATGATGTTTTGTTATGTGGGAGAGACTTGACCTGAACGTTTTAAGGGGTGAAAGTGATTTTTGAAATAAGAGTGTACTCATTATGTAATACCTAGGGAAACTTACGTACTCTCGGCAGTCTAAGGAGCGTCCGCGCTTCTATTAGTATTTTCCAACGTCACGCACACATTCAGTGGTAGACATTGGTTTAGCCGACTCCCATTTTTTCTATGTATTTGGGAAATAAGGCACAGCGTATTTCTATTTTTTGGACTTGTAGGATAGGTCTCTTTTATTTTCAACAAAATCATCATTAGTTCACGTTTGGATCATAATATAGAAATAACATTGGAAAATGGGAAGACATTCGTTTAGCCGACTGGTTAAATTTTAAAGTTACGATGACTTTTAAAAGCGAATTTCGAAGACAATCGATAGCTAATATTTGGTATGGCCGCCATCGTTTCGGATTACCATCATTTATTTATTTATTTATTTGAAGAGAAAAGCCCACACCAGTGGGTGCAAAACCTCAACATTTCAGTACCAACAGATAACATGGAATCCTACAGATACATTTGCTTGAACTAAGTCCTTAACATATAAAAAGAAATAATGATAACATAATTAACTGAATTTAAATACAAAAAAACAGAAACCGTCAGGAAGTTAAAAGTACATTATAAAACAGATTCTTAAGTAGTTGAAGATGCTTATTTCAAATAACAGACTAAAGTGGTAATTTTTATACAATTGAAAGTATAGAGTTGATAGGTCTGTTAGAGTACGGTAGTGTGAGAATTGTATTATAGAGAGTAGAAAACGAGCAAGGACAACTTTTAAGAAAGGTTCAAGTCAGTTTTGATCATCTCTCTTTACCAAACTCCCCCGTTGGAGAGGGGTGGTGAGGGGTATTCCACCCCGCCACCACTGGCAAAAAGAGATGATCGCCGATTCGCTCATGTACCGACGATGTGCTTGAAACAGTTCTATCGATTTTTACCGCACTCAAGTTGTTATCTGAAAGACGGCATCCAGCCGTAGGTTTGGAAATTGCAGCTATTGTTACCTCTACCACGGCATGTGCTCCTGTCAACGATTTACATAGTTGAAGATGCTAATTTCAAATAACAGACTAAAGTGGTAATTTTTATACGCGTAATCTGTTATTTGAAATTGGCATCTTCAACTAAGTAAATCGTTGACTTCACGCAGAAGTAATACATAACATATAGTCAAAGTAAATTCTTAAGCCTAACACGGGAGATATTAAAATCAAAGCAGTTTTAACATTTGTTGAAAATCTTGCACATGCTAGTTAACGGCTCATTAGCGCCGTAGTTTGTGCGAGAAGCCGGGATGTTGAAAAAATAATAAGAACGTAAATTTACGCGTCTGATATTGACATTCAACTGCTGCAGAAGTGATCCGCAATTAATGTCCGATCGAAGGAGATCAGCGATGAAGGTAGCCTTAGAGACGCCTCGGCGAACACTAAGTAATTGTAGGGACATCAAATTACAGCGACTTTCATACCTAGGGAGATTGAAAGGATCACTCCAGGGTAGCCAACGACGAGATAAACGTACAAAGCTTCGCTGAATGGCCTCATTACGTAAAAAGGAGCGCATAGAGTTTTTGATATAATTTCCGTCCTACTAAGCACAACCCGCGCTTATACAAAAAAATGGAATAAATCTGTCAAAGATGACTTCTAAAAATAATCACAAATTGTTGAGATATTGATTAAAATCTAATACTGCTTCTTGATTCTAAACTCGTTCTACGAGTTTCAATTCCGTCCTAACGCATTGAACGCTATTAGATTTTCTTCGTCCCACGGATAAACGTAGAATAAGGGGATTCACTAGGAGCGCTTCTTTTGTTTTGAGAACAATGAGTGTAAATATTCATACACTGCGCTCTAACAGGATTTATGTTGTAGCTAATGAACTAACGCATCGGAACAAACCTATTATTGATTTGTGCACGGTGAAATCACTAATAATCACTAATACTATTGATCTTTTCTGATCAATAGACCAGAAATGGGCGATTACGACGAAGTAGCACTCTACCCTACTACGGAACAGTACTCTAATGTGGAGCGGACTAGCAAACAATAGAGTGTTTTTTGAAGTAGGACTACGTCTTTGATTTCTATATGGGGGTACACTTTGTGAAAACCGAAAATGAAACATGTAACAAATTAAGAAAGATTTTGAACGTTATAACTCAGCTGCCCCTGGCCCAATTTCAAAAATGTTATAACCAATCGATCAGAAATATGACTACGCATCGATGACAATGCTTCTGAATGTTGATTTTTAACAATAAACTATTGAAAAATTGGTAAATGTCCAGCATTGTCCAAAAGCGTCGAATTAACTAACAAATCCACCAATTACCTACATGCACATGCTGCTTTCCCAGCACAGTCGTCAGAGAGTAGTAAGTAGACGAAACAACTCTAAGTGGCATTCGCCTCCGATCTTCGGGCGCGTGCGAATAGGGAGGATGGAATTGCGTAATATTTTGAACACTCATCGCCATATTCAGAACCAAACGCAAATTCTTCGAGATAACCACCATCCGTCGTCTGGCTCGCCGTGGCGGTGTCTGACGTATATCCGGTCTAGTTTACGAGGTGTGCTGAAGGTGTTCCTGAAAAATTAGATCCGTGATGCTGTCAACTACACTAAACACGCCAAGCGTAAGCGGCCATGGATGTCATCTACGTTTTGAAGTGACAGAGACGCACTCTGTTTGGTTTCGGAGGTTAAATCATCACCAACTTTGGCAACAAAACGGCTCTTTTCAGGGCCACCAAGCTTACTACAGGAAAGAGTAGGAATATAATTCATCTGCCTCATGTAATCAAACTGGAAGCAGGGGTACAAATTATTTTGATCAACCTTGATCAACTTTGAATCGCCACGGCCGGATGGAAGCCACGATGGAAGAAGCAACAATCTAGCATCTAATTCGACGAAGACGGCAGGAAACATTTGTGAACATTTACGAAAGAGAGTGTCGATGAAGAGAATCGATCAATGTAGATAGGACCTATTGAAAAGTGACGCGAGATTTGTTTTCCGTACTGAGCTCCAAAGCTTCCAACGCCAGGGTGGCAGCTCCCACACCTGGACCCTACCAATCGACCCATCAACTCAACCGGGGACCAACGGCTTTACTTCCCGAAGGAAGTCGTGATCAGAGATGTTATGCCTTAGAACATTCCGGTGGCGCCGACTGAGATTGGACCCAGGCCTGCTGGGGTGAGAGGTAATCACGCTAACCACTGGCGCCAATATCTTCACGGCGAATGAGATCGACCCAAATCTCAGAAATAAGAAATAAAGTGCAGGAACTCAGCGATGAGTAAATTTGCCTCATGTTTTCCCAGGTTTTTCCAGGATTTTCCAGGGAAAAATTCCCGAATTTGAGAAAAATTAAGATTGGATTCACTCAGTCTATTGGTACTACTCCGAGACTGAATAAAAATTTCGTCAATTTCCTCATTTTCTGGCCAATTTTTTAGGTTTTCCACGACAAATTTACTCATCGTTGAGTTCCTGCACTTTTGGCGATTATGAGTGAACTAAACTCAAATTTGGGTCGTTCTCATTCGCTGTGTACGCAAAAGGAAATGAGCCAGCGTCGCTACTTGATAGCAAACTACTCACAATGGGAGGAGTCTTTGTAGCATCATTCTGCTTTAACCTGAAAAGATATAAAAGAGCGCTGCTGTATGGAATTTGCTCATTTTCGCTTCGGACGGCGTGGTGAACAGCAATAGCAGCAGTAGGAAGGTGGTGGGTAGTCCACTCTTTCACACCTAACAAGCAA